CCGGCCCTTTGAAGTTCGCCGGGTTTCCTAACCATCTCCCTCTATTAACTATGGTCCACACTAGCGTATTCAAGCGTTTCAGTGTGGACAGTTGAAAACACAAATACGGTCATATCGATCAAATTACATGTCTTCTGCGATAAAGAAAACTCAATAAAACCAGAAAAAAAACTGCTCAAGACGCTTTCATCTGGACAGATGATGAAGTTGAACTTCTGTTAACAGTTACAAACGAATAGAAGGTTTCAAAACGCACGAAAGCGTGGATTGGGAGTCAGTCCAAAGCAAATGCAGTCATTCTCGAACGATTCAAAAAAACACATTCCATCGACAGAGGAAAAAAACTCCCAATCTCTTTCATCCGGAAAAGACTTGCCACAAAGCAGACGATATTACTAAGAATATTTAACTACAAAACTTAAATCTATAAGACCAAGGGGAACGATGACGTCATCGTTTTCAAAAGGAATCGYTTTCGCTGTCCACACTGACCGGGATGCCGTAGCGTTTTCAAAACGCTTCACTTTCAACAGCGTTTTCAAAAGGCTCCGTTTTCGATGAAAACGCTCAGCGTTTTCGAGCGTATTAGTGTGGACAGAAGGGCAAAACGCATACTTTTCGATTCGTTTTCAAACGAAAACGCTCTAGTGTGGACGGGGCCTTACGGAACCGATACGGCAAGTGTCGGGCTTCATCCACTCAACAATCGAACTTACGGTTCGACAAACTACGGTACATAAAAATCAATCCAATCAGGTGTGAGCAGAAAAAATGCCAACAAATCAGAATCCAAAAATACGATACAGTTCCGGTACGGTTACGGTACGGACGCTATTCGTCATCACCGTTTCCCACTCATACGAAAACGACTCTATACAGTGTCGTCAGAAACTACTGATTTGTTTTCAGCAGTACCAGAAATACTTGCAAATTAACTTCTTATTTTTGATTTCTTTCTTTTAAAGGCCCGGTGTTTCTCTTTTTTATTCCATTTTAAAATTCATTTGCTTTGAGCCGTGTTTTTCAGATATTATGAACTGTTTTTGAAAGTATTTTGTTATCAACTGCTCATTCTAGCAACAAGCTCGCACACACAATACCTGTGCATTGAACAACTTTTGCTGAACATTTAATTTAGCTCGGGCCTGTTAACACAGGCAAAATTTTAAAAACCAGATAAAAAAGCCACTTGCTTATCAATACTTTATCGTGTGAATAAATTATGCATAAATCACGGCAATGATTGTATAACTAACTCTACTCCACCCCTCTCAGTATTCTCTAGCCATTCATTAATAACACGTCACAGTAGCCTAAAATCTAAAGTGTGTCAAGCTTCAGTAGACTTTCAAAACAGGGAGCACTGATTGAATGCTTCCATTGAATGATGCAAAATGTTATCCTTTAAACAAGAATTCCAGCTAAAGAACTTCAAGTTCAACTACAGACCCGTTAAAGATTTCGTCACATCTCCGGTAAGTTAATAATATCTAATATTTATTCTGAAATATTACGGAATATCAGAGCTGAATGCGAGTCGAGGCGCTACCAATCGTGAGGGGCTTTTGTGACTCCTTAAGAATTATCAAAATATTATATGACATACTTCTTTTTTACTGCAAATTGTGTCTCAGCTATGTTGCATAACATAGTGTACAAACTGATACCTATAAAGAGATATCAAAAGTGAAAAAAACCCTGGAACGCTTAGTCAAATTACTGATCATGGCTTAGTGATGCTCATTTGCCATGCTAAGATTCAAAGATCTGTCCRTAAATATCATTAGCAGAGACTTTGAAAGGAGTTGTACAATCCGAATGAAAAATAACGTAAAGATAAACACATAAACGAGAAGTTTTGAAGTTGACTATTCCAACTTTTAGGACTAAGCAGAGATAACAAGCCTCATTTGGATTCAGTTTTCGAGTGAATTGGACATCCATAAATAACTTAAAAACTTTCAAATCTCTACCTAGTGAATATTATGTAATTTTAAACAAAGTAGCCACAAAGAATCGCAGATACAAACATAGCTGTAATTAGCCATGATTAAAAGAGAGCCATAAAGAAAGAGGTAGTGTGAGATACATTAATTAAAGTTGATAAAGACCACTGAATTTGCATGTTCTTTTTACAAAGATATCGTAAATATTCATAACTTTTGTATAACATAAATTTTGCTGAATATAGTATAGTTATCATTTGATTTATCTTTTTAACGCTTGCACAAGGGCGATGAAGTATTTTTGCATTCGGCAGAGAGTATTAATTATTCCGATGGAATAAATGCAACCATGCATCTTAAATTCAACGTAAGTCTCTATATACAACGTTATTAATATAGAAAAACGTATTTGTCAACTGTGCGCCTTGATTAAGACAGAGTTTAAAAGTTTAAGGGCACAGTGACAATAATATCCGAGAAAAAAAAAAACGTTCAAATAAAAAAACAAACACACCAAGCGATGAGAGTATTCAACCAAAGTGATGAACCTTTAAAAGCCCTTTTAACAAAAGAATGACTCGCTTGCATGACAATGTAAGGTCTTATTCAACTTTGAATTTACATACGGTCAGACACGGATTTTCAGTAGTTTTTCTTGATTAAAGGACTTTTTAAAACCATGACAGTGCAGACAGAACGGAGTAAGAAAATGCTGTATAGAGTTATTAAAAAATGACCAAATAGGGCGATGATCTATGAATCAAAACTTTTAAGTTTAAATAACAAAACCTATGAAGCTTGTCAAATTCTCATTAGTAATACAAAGGTCCTTCAGTTCTCCGTGGACGAAACGACACGTTTCCACATAAAAATATAGAAAAGCAGCAAAAGAAAGAAAGAAAAAAAAAACAATAAAAAAAAAGAAAAAGAGCTGATTTATGGTTGAATTTATATTAATGCTTTAACATGTTTACAATCTACACTAAGCTTTTAATCTTTATATTACTCTGCATTAATTATTGTTGATGTGACCCTAATAACCGTATGATAATGTACAATATTACTAAAACGAAATAAAATTCAATTTTTAATTAAATTTTGTTAACAAAATGGCAAAATATTTATCAATATTTGACCTTTGTGCTGTTTTAATTTTAGATTATACAATTACAACTTGAAAAAAAAAAAAAAAAACATTGATGTAGAACTGCTAGGTGGCAAGGGTTCATTTGTGAGACTTAGTTTTAACGTCAATGAAATATATTTCCTCTTTAAGAATAAAAATAATCTTCATAACTTTAAAAGTTGCGATGTATATAAACATAAACACTGATTGTAATTTTATTTAAATCATATAACATGTTTATTTGAACGCCACGTTACTATAGATACCTATGTAAGAAGTTTTCAATGAGGTCACGTCCACTTTGAAGTGTGCAGAGGCGGTTAAATAATGAATCGCTTGGACACTTCAAGAGGAGAGAGGGGGTGGCACTTAAGTTAAATTCGAAGCTGATCAAAAAACTCAAACAACAATACCACCAATACTCCAATTTCGAGTTCTGGTTTGCTCTGTGTTAGCCTCAAAACCAAGCAACATATTCTTTTGTTTTATTGATAGCCCAAGAAAACGCATGGAATTTGTGAAGAAAGACAATAAAATTGATTTTGAAATCTCATACTTTTATTCTCACAATTAGTAATATTTTGCGCACAAATGAGGCTAACACAGAGCATTGTAGAATTCGAAACTGGATTATTAATCTGCAACAATTTTCCTTGTGGGAATWGTGTGATTATTACCTTCTTTGTACTCATTTTCACGGAGTTGGAGCAGATTACGCGGGCATTTATTTTTGCGTTTTTTATGAAACTTTAAAATGTATTCGTTCATTTTTGGGTAAACTGTTTTTACGTGGATACAGGCTTGATTTAGCGATTTTTTATGAAAAAAATAGTAAGAAAAAAATGGAGAAAGTTAGTACGGATTAATAAGATAGCTTTTCGATTCTTTTTGATAGAGTACAAGCAGTAAATGTGTGCAACACTAAGCACTACTATTAACTGCTAATACAGAGCTAGCAAAATCGAAAACACTGGAATAAGCACAATTAAGCAGTAATTTTTGGTATTTATTTTGCACGCTTGTATTGTTTATAATCTTCCTTTAATCTACGATTTAATAAGAGTATATGATCACAAGACGAATCATAGTCTATAATCACTGTGCATTGTTTGATTTCAGTGGTTTCCAACACCAGTGCTCATTATCTATCGATGCGTGTTCGCCATCTACAGCACAACATGGATAACCTACAGACTATTCGCACACGACCGGTTCCGCAAAGTAGTCACCATGTTTTACATGACCAATTGGTCCTATTTCACCCTAATTAATTACTTTTCCATATCGGCCGGCATCACAATAATACACTACATCAAAAAAAGGCAAGGAAAAGAACATGTTATCGTGGATGACGTCGAAAAAGGTCAACCACGTGACGACGAGACGAGATGGTACCACAAGATGCAGTGGTTCTTCTACAGCGTCGCTTCTACCCAGGCAATAGGAGTCACTTTGTTCTTCTGGTTGTTTGATTACGATGGCATGGGTATAACTCTTTCAGATGTCAACGTCCACGTCCTGAATTCTGTGTTCATGCTGATTGATCACTCCCTAAGCTCCATGCCCGTGCGTGTGTTACACGTGGTGTACCCCATGGCATTCATTCTTCTTTATATGATAGCTACAGTGCTGTATTGGGCACTCATCAGTAAGGAGTACATATACAAGAAAATGGACTACAGCACTAACCCTGGTCTGGCTGTTGGGCTGCTATTGGCCGCCATGTTTATCATAGCWCCCGTTGTTCATTCGTTTTATTATGCAACTTACCGGTTAAGGGCGTATTTGGCAGCGAAGTTGACAAAAGATGACAGCGAAGAGCTTGGCGAAGAAATGCAGGGAAAGTAACCATCCCGGGGGAGGGAAGGGGAGGGGGGGAGGAGTAATTCTCGAGCTAGGAAACCTGGATCCTATAGTCTTAGAAAGACGGAGGGTTTATAAATGACATATGTCGTATTTCCGAGAAAAGTTGACAAAGATGACAGCGAGGAGCTTTGCAAAGAAATGCAGGAAAGTAACCATTATCCTTGGGGGGGGGGGGGGGGGAGGAGTAACTTCTGGGACTGCGAAACGTGGACTCTGTAGTCTTAGAATGACGGAGGGTTTATGAATGACATATGTCGTATTTCGAGGGGGTTACAGGTTTGACCCCCTTAATTAAAAAACTTTTCTCCATTGCGGGATTTCTGTCCTTAAACCATTTTAATAAGGACAGTCTATAAACGTCAAGTGATACAATCTATTTAATAAATTGCAAAATAACTCAATTTTTTACCATGTAAACAAGAAGGGCGAGGTATCAATTTCAAATATTGTAATTTTTTTAGTTTTACTTTTTTGCTATAACGTTGATCGGAAATTTTGGATTTATAATCTATATTATATTTAATATTAAGATATTGGACATGATGAAAAAGTATTTTTTGTCAAATGTCAAATAATATTTTTTTACATTTTTCTTTCATTAATACACAATGAAGTGGTGGCTAAAAATTAAGAATGGGTTGGCAATAAAATAAACTTTATTTGTCTCATGTTATTGTGGTTGTGGGTAAGATAAACTGATATTTTGATCACAAATGATGATCCTGTAGAGTGACTGGATTTGAGTGGCCCCTTGGAGAAGCGGGTTTAAGGGATCAAACTCTTGGCTCAAGAGAGGTAGAGCAAATGCAGGAAAACCATGAAATTAAATCTAACTAAATACTAACAAATAGCGGCTATTTAGAGACAAATTGTCACTATCAATAAACCAGAACACAATGAAGATGAATGAAAAATGGTCCCATGTGGAAAAAGTGTGAATCCATTCATTTCGAACATTTGGTATTCCTAAACTGTTCTCTATAGGTACTCCCAAATCCTGCCTTTGGTGTATATTTAGACAGATAAACTATTCCTACCCTCAATAAAATCAACATTACCCACTAGAAAGGCTCCAGTCCTTTCCCACAATGACAGGTAGTTAGCAGTATGTACCTGTCAATCAAAAGCATTGGAGTTGCTTTTCAACCAATCAGCAGTTAGAATAACGCTCTTTGTTGATTGGTAGCTATCAACATCAATATAACAGACTTCCTGTCTTGCCTTGAGCAATGAAAGAATCAATCTCGTACCCAGAGCCTGCACTTTATGCCATCCAGCAGATGTTTGAGAGACTCTGGTGGAATGTAATTATTTGTCGATTTGTGATTGGCTGAATATGACACAAGCATGCATTGTTATCAAGTCGTTTTTGCAAGTCGCCAGCGCACGCTCCTGATTGATTAGTCAAGAAAATCATACTTTTATCGTATAACCACAAAATGCTTTCACATATTTTGATTTTTAAAAAGGTGTAAATACAGTTCCTTAACTAAGTCATGTGCTAATATTCTTCTTTTTTGTCATTTCAATGTTCTAAAGCAAAAAACAAAATTGACCTAATTTGCTTGATTTGCACTGGAAAAGTGCTGCAAATCCAGTCGATTTCCCCAGAGTCATTCTGGTGTCAGCATACTGCTGACATTAGCAGTGAAAACTCTGGGTTCGAGATTGTGAAAGAATAGGATTATTCCCCTGTTCAGCTCTTCTCATATCTGCCACAGGATGCCCATCACATCAGACAATATCAGGACTAAATGTAATTTTAAATGTTTTACACTATGTGTAATTTACTTAATAAACTCTTTTCCTTCAGTTCATTTGATTCCTTTGTCCATCCTCCAAATGATAGCCTAACTCTTAAAATACCATACAGAAACAGTTGTATAAAAGGCAGGACAACAAATAACCCTCCAAGTACAAGCACAGTAGCCAGACCTGGTTTATTTGAATAGTCCAACACTCGATATATTGGCTCTTTGTTAATCCAAACCCAGTAAAATAAGGTTGCTTTTGTATACAGAAGAGCAAACATGATAGAATATACTACATGGACAAGATGCCATGGCATTGAGCTGAGTGTATGTTCAAGAATTATAAATACAGAGTTTAGTAAGTGTACATTAACATCTGATAAAGAAAGTCCTTTTCCATTGTACTCAAATATCCAAAAGTATATTGTGACACCAATAGCCATTGTGCTAGCAATGTTATAAAATAACCACTGTAGTTTGTGAAACCATGAAATTTCATCATCTATGTGATTTTCAWCTTGATTRYCTTCTACTCTGATAACGTTTAGACTTTTTTCTTGCTTGTGTTGGATGYAGTTATGTAYAGTAGTGGTGAACGACAGAATAAAGTACGTAATGAGACTTGAGTAAGCCCAGTTGGTTGCTTTAAAAAGAGTTTTCACTTGACAAAAGCTCTCATCTGTAAATATCCTGTARGCCATCCATGAGATGCCATAGAGCGCAAAACACGCTCTATAGAGTATTAATACTGGTTCTGATAAACACTAGGAAAAAAGACATGAAATTATTATACATTTCAGCTAATATTTGCATTTTATAGCAAGAGCTTTACGAGGCATTTTGTTGGTGAAACGGTGAGATATAAACTTACATGTGAAGAAACAAAGTGGCTTGTAAATCGATAAGAAAACTGTAGATTCTTTGAATGGAGTTCTCGTCTGAAATTCAACATGTCAGCTCCAACTCATATATACAGTAGCTTCACTTTCTAAATGGATCAAAATGAAATTACATAACAACCACAGCGAAAGAAAAGTATTGAGAAGCATCATGCAGCCATTTTTCAGAGTTCTGATCTCTCGCTAAACGACAAAAATAAACAAAGACTTTGTTTTTCCGTCTGTTTTCAGCCATTTTGAAAAATGAAAAAAGTCAGGCGTTCCTTCTTTGTCAGTGTGGGAGACTGGACAGATAACACAGGAAGCCCAAAAGTATGCGCGCGACTGAAGGCGGGAAATTTACATTTATAAACAAAATGGCCGACGAATATACGGTAGCAATGAAGATTGTTCGCCTGCAAAACTCTAGTTAAAGACCTTACTGATGGCAAATTGTTGAAGAAGAATGTATGCTACTGTTTATCTCGGTAAGGATTCTAAAGCTGAGGGACTTGCAATGCTAAAAGAAGATTCAAAAAAATCGATTCAAACTATCGACACTCGTCTTGTTTAGTGTGCTGGATTTGCTGGGACCAAACTTTACGTACGATCAACGCTACGTCCTTACACGGTACAGAGAACTTCACATAAAGGTACGTTATCAACTTATCACCTAAATGCACTAAAATATATATACTTGCTTAAAACCTAGAAGTTGTTGGAGTTACATTTCGAACTTCAGAGCTCTCGATTCGCTTTGATCTCATCTCTCAGTGCCTATATTATCGGCGGTATGTGCTCCCTTACCGCCGGAGGAAATACAGAAATTATGGAACATTAAACGTTTTTTTTACTTTATTTCTGTGAACAATTATGTCAATGATATAAACAACACATTGTTTTCTATTAACCTACAGGAGAAGGGATTAAATCTGTATAGTACCCTACGAGAAGAGTGTTTTCATGTCATGTAGGGTTAATAACACTCTCCTCGCAGCGTAAAAGCTTTATAGAAAATTAAAATATAGAAATAGTTTATTTTTACAAACATAAATGAAAGTTGAACGAATGAATGAGTGATTAAAGAAAACAGAATGAGAGAAGGGAGCCACCCTCGTCTCCCATGCCAATTTACTGAGGGAAAGGGACTGTTGTTGAGATTGAAAAGGTAGGAAGTGAAAAGTAAGAAAGAATCTCGAAATAGTACACTAGGTAAGATCAACTTACGTAAAGGAGAAGGCAAAGGCTTTTAAAGGAGTGAATGATTGAGTGCGGTTTTATGTCTAATGTAATCGAGTTCGATATATGAATGCAAAAATGGTCCAGTTCTTTAGAGTGACAGCTCCCTGTGTTCAAATATCAGGGATTAGAATTTGTCCATGACATGTTGATCTTAATTCAGATCTTCTGAAGATCGTTCCGCGCAGACAATTGTCGTTTTTTGACAATCCACACTCTAATTCTATACAAACAGTAAACCAAGAACTGGGATATGGGCACGGCAAGAAAAACAAACATGGCGGCCATTAGGAATGCTAATCCTGCGTTGTTTTCATAATCCAATATGGCGTAGATGTAGCTTTTCCCTTTGTGATTGGTCCCTCCAGCAGCCCAGTAGATAACTGTGAATGACGTGTACACGATTCCGTAAATCAACGGGTATATCAAGTGAAAAATACGAAACGGTACGTTACACACCATGACGTCGATTATGACTAGAACGCTGTTCACCGCATGCGCATTAGCGTTTGATCCATCCACGTATTGGCCTGGGACATAGTCAAAGGCCCAGTACATGGCCGTCACTAAAAACGCAATGTTAGCAGCAACGTTATATATTGCCCATGATGCTTTGCAGGTCAAAATTAACATCCGGGGATGTCTCAACTTAGAATCAGGTTTGTCAGGATTTCCGTCGTTTTGAAGTTGTCCCTCTATTTCTTGCATTTCCTGTTTGTCCGGTTCTTCATTGGCGTTTTGATCACATGCGAGAACTCGTCGTTTAGTGTAAACGTAGTGGTAGTAGGCAGAAAGGATGAAGGAGATTATAAAATGGACATTGAGGAATGTATAGCTCCAGTTCGTTAGGAAAATTAACCATTTGGCGCCATCATTCAGCCGTAGGATAACTCCCAGGATCGACCAGATTGTCGTGTAAAGAGCCATTACACAGCGATATACAATAAAGATTAGCGGTGAACACCACTGAAAAAACAATCATAGATACTGTAAGGCTTATATCCATCAATTTTATCAGTGATATTGCCAGATTGTCTTCAAATCAGTTTTAAACCGATATGTTCATTCACCACAAAACCTTTTTTAATTTAATTATAAAGCTATATACGGTGAAGATTAGCAGCGAAAACCACTGAAAAAACAATCGTTGAAAAATGTTAATTTTATCATATTGCCAGATTGTATTTTTAAATCAGTTCTAAGCCAATGAAACCACAAAACTGAGTGTTCTTCTGAAAATGTTACTAAATAATGGCAGAATAAAAAGACCGCAACTTTACGAATGCAAACTTCCAGTGTTTACCAGATGGAAGAGAATTGGGAATTAAATCATATTTCATAGTTTTATTATGCACGCTATACCGGCTTTGCATCGGATCTGCAGACCCTTCTCATTCCTCGAGCAGTTTACATTACTTATTGTCATCGATGTTTAAAATGCGCGAAAAATATCCCAGCATGCAACAACCAAAGCAAACTACTGCATGATATGTGACGTCAAATAGTGCACGAAATCTATCATAGCGGACCTCCTTCTTTATTGTCCATACGCGTATTAGTCCATGATATTGTAAAAAATAAATAAATAAATAGACAAAGATCTATGTGAGGTTCTATTAGAATAAAACGACTTTAACTACTGGATTTCCACTTCAGTGAAAAATATTTAATATCTAGAAAGGAAGTAAATCCCCGGATCACACTATCTAATGATTATGGCGATTCGGAGTAACGGAAAAACCCTAGTCTTTCAGGAAATAAGTCTGGGAAAACGACAGCCGTTTCGATCACAGTATAATGATATATTTAATTAAGGTGCGCCGATTTGACACATTTATGATAGCGCGTTATACCAGCTTGGTAAACACGTAACCCCACTGGACAAAAGCAGGAAATATGAATTTGACCCAGGACATAACCACAAGTCAGAGTGGATATTGTGAATCATAGACCTCCCAGAGATAATAAGAACAAAGCCAGATGATGTCTTTTGACGAGCTGGCGGTTATTGGTGTACATGGCAAATTGATCGAAGCTCTTTAAATATTGATACAAGATGATGTCATGGCTTTTGTAGACTTAACCACAATGAGAATTGTTGGTTACTGAAAGCTGGGTTTAAARATTACAGATTACTCACATGATCTTTTATTAGATATTTATAAGAGCTGGATTTAAAATTGTATCATATAACTTAATCTTTATGGACGAAAAAATAATAATACTAAGGAAAACAAACAGAAGGTGTTTAAAAACAAATAAATAAAAACGAAAAATAATGTAAAACGTTCATGTGTAGTCTATGGGATTTATTAAAAAGATCAATTTTTTGATGTGAATTTATAAAATGCTTCGTTATTGCAAGATCATAGAATCTACTAAGTGTTTTGAAGCAACAATCTGTCAGTCGACCCTTTCAAATATTTATACAAGAGTAATATTTTGACAAACGATTTGTATGCAAATTAAGGGCATGAAGTGGCCCGCAAGAAATATGGAATAATGTCACAAACATTTCCTCAATCGCAAATCATAATTCCTTAATCCTCTCTATTTATATATAAAGACAACATTAATAAAGAAAAGTAATCCGAATTTTTATCATATTTTAAAATGTTTTAGAAGTTCAGCGAAGGGGTCATGTCTGTCGACAAGAAAAGCTCTGTTTTTGATGTAATCCAAAAAACACGAAACACCATTTTATTGCAATGTACTAAAATGTATCTGTAAAATGTAGTAGAGCCACCTTAACAAAAACCATCTACAAAAACTGCTAAGAAATGTAAACTGGACGCATTTTCACCGTTTTAAAAGTGGTTTATAATTGCTTGCAGTACTACTAAGATACGCCATACACATAATATATAAAGTAATGATTATCACCTGAGTTATGTTTTAATTTTTGCAGCTGTAACGATTACACTTACAAGAAAGCATTGGAACTCTCATTGAAAAATCTGCCATAGATTGGGCAGAGTATGGCTGCATCTATTCCAGGCATTTAATCTTTGCTGCACCTTTCTGCTGGATTTACAAAGGTTAAACTGCAGATTGAGATCGTCTCTCACAGCTTTAAGACTCAAGATAATTAAATAGGTATGTATGTGAAGATTATTTTCGTATTTTATGATTTAAATATTATTATTATCATCACTATTTTTGTATATGAGCTGTAGCTGCATCGCTGTTTTGCTTAGTACAGTATATTTGTTTATATACATAGTTTTTTTTGGAAATTTCGAGCTTTTGTTCGATGCAATGATATTAATCAAAAAATCAATAATTCTAGCAATCAAATTAACTACCATATAATGACCAGCTTTTCGTCTAGTAATAATATTACACAATAAATGAATAAAGAAAGCGTTAAACATGGTTCTAATGAACTCAATGAAAGTTTGAAATACAATTAATTGAACTTCACGAAAACATCGAGAAAAGTAATTCATTCAATGTCAAACTGATTGATCTCGTTATGAAGAAGCAAGGTCAATACCAATTTGGTGTTCATCCGCRTATCTGCCGTATAACTATGACATATCATAGCTTGCACATTGTTAAAACCCTACTCATTAGCAATATGGAAGCGATAAATGAGTTCTATTGCATTCTCAATTGATATTCGCAAAGTGTACATTCACACTTGGCATACATTTTGTATTCATTTCAAAATATTAAGTTCATTTAATAAAAATCGTTGTTTATTAGAAAGAAATGACTTACGTAGACCTTCAGATTGTATTAGGTTAACAATAATGTGACAATGCGGGTACTATTGTAATATATATATAGAATAAAATACGTTTAATAATGCAGAATAAAGAGCAGAATCTGATTGGGAAAAATGATAAAAAAAATCCAGAAATCTTTGTATAAAGTTGTTGACCGGAAGCCTATCCTAAAATTAACTGCGTCGTAAGTCAAATTTCGAAATTGTGCAGAACAAAAAATCGATGGGAATACGGGTGAAAATACTTACCGGTGAGGTTGTAAACACGCTAATATCCGGGTAGTCAAGTCTATAATTTCTGAGTTTGAATTCTTGCTTCATGATGGCACGGAATGTCTAGTTACTATAACAGGAATAAACGAAGCAGCAGCAAGCTTACAACACCTAGCGTGCAAAGGGACAGGACATGCAATGACAGGAATAACAGGAAAATGATTGCTAAATACAACAACTTGCTTATTTAAAAGATTATTTTCCTGTCACCGGATTGGCTGAAAATGATTATGACGTCATGTTGAAGCTGTGACGATTTCGATGCATGTGTGACATCACTAGGAAAGTTTTTTCAGGTTTGATTGTTTCTAGTGTGGGTTAAAGGGTTCCAAAGGATATTTCTCTATCTGTGTGGTTAGATAAATCTAAAACCTAACCTCGGCCTATATTTATTTGAGCGTAAATACCTTCTGGTTCAGTTTCTTGAGCACTTTTGTTCTTTAGAGAACGTTTTATTGGGGTTCAAGTTGATGTGCGTGTATATACTGTAGACAGAGCTTTTGCATCGCTACTCGATCGATTGGAACTTCCTTTGTTGACAGAATCTAGCGAGTTTTAAGTTATGTTTGTCGCTAATTTTGATTTGAACTTGTTCTTGAAAGGGATACGAAACATCAATATGAACAACAACAAACAATAAAAAATAACAGAGACTGCAAGTTATACAATTTCAGCAACAACAACAGCAGTAGCAACAACAACCGTAAGATCAACAACTAGAACTTCAAAAACACCGATACTCAACGTCCGTTTCCCGGCTTTGTGCACCTTCGAGCCGATATTCTAAAAGGAAGATCCGGCCCACAACCACAAACCACTTCCCCACAAAAAACAATCGTTGTTTGCTGATGAAACGATAACGAACCAGACAAACAGCAACAAGATTTGATGAGTTTGTTTAAAGCCAGGTCAAATCCTTACGAAAACACGTTGGTTTTCTTTGTAACAATACTCAAGATCAGTAAAGTGCATACATGCGACCTTCGCTTCATTCTCCGACCTCAAGTATCGAGACAGAATATAGACAAGCGGATATCTGCCAATCTGAGAGTTCGTTGATAAGACGATCGGAATTCAGAAGCGTCCGATGGGCCTTTCGATAGATCAAATTGGCTTAACTTTAAGATATCTCGTGATAAAACACTTTTCGAGACCGTTTTGTTTTGAAAATATTCGTAAAATACCAAGACACATTGAAGACATTAAACTTCCTGTCATATCACTACTTTCGAACAGGATGCCATTACTTTAGTAATGGGCTCCTGGCTCAATAATTTTTTTTGCTTGAAATTGAACTATTAGCCAAGCTGCCACTATGATGATTAGTCAGTATTTTTTTTACAAATCACGCGCGCCCGTATACGTAAAACCGGTGCGCGGTAGAGTGATCGCACTTAAACCGTGCAACTGTACAAATCAAATAGTGCTATTTAGTTGTATTTATTTAATCGTGCATGCGGTACGCAAAATCAAATTTAATTGATACAAATGAAGCATTCAATACCGTCTTACTTCAGGTCCACTTTTAGTACAAATTAATACTACTTAGATTTTGTACAGTTGCACGGATCAAGTGCATCACTCTAGAGTACAAACACTAAAACTGTGCAACATAAATACCACTAAATACTGCTAAATTATGCTAATTCTATTGTTTTCTATTGTTTAATTAACACTATTTTGTAGTAAATAGTGGAAAGTGGTGCACACATAATGTTTGTACTCTAACATGGGTCTCCAATGCACCACCTTACATATAATTCTATTTTGATTATTTTATTAGTGTTAAGTAGAATTATGTAAGACAAAACATGTGCTTGCCGCTGTATATCTCTCTGTTTTATTTGGACGCTTTGGTCCTGTGTCCTTTTCAGCAAACTGATTATTATATTTGTATCTAATCGTCATTAGTATAAACATACTAACGGTCTATCACCCATACTGCGCTGTGATTGGCTACTCTACTAATGGTCTAATTTGTGATAGACCCCTCGCGGGAAAATCAAAATGGCGGCATCTCATTAATATATTATTTTAAGGATATTTCAATTTGTTTTCATTATTTGACCGATTAATATGTTTATATACTAAAACAATTAGACCTCTCGGCCTCGTGGACTACGAGCTAATAGCCCATTCGGCCTCGCGGACTCAGCCTCATGGGCTATTAGCTCGTAGTCCACTCGACCTCGAGGTCTAATTGTTAATTATTAAGTGGATATGATACTGTGTATATATATGTGTGTATATTTGTAAATGGTATTTTGTTGACTTTGTCTGCATTACAATTTTTCAATTTACTCGATAGCGTCATTTAATGATACTACAACTACATCTTCATATTCAGGGTCCGGTTGTACGAAGGGTAGGTGGATTATCTGCTCCTTAGATTTTGTATGGGGTGTTATTTTCTGGATAACGCTAGTCACCCTTCGTACAAGCGGCCCCAGAAAGAAAGTACTTTAGACAGAGCGTGAGATGATGTATTCTAGAAGTTGTAGTATATTACACTATCGGGTACTAATGATTATTGCTTTAGAGACTTTTCTAACACCACACACAGGTCAGTCCATCCCTGTGTCATCTTCTTTGTCTAATATAATTGCATTTGAATATACTTGGTCTTGTTAGCGAATCCTAGACCAGTTCATGGCAGAGTTATGTATACTTTCCACAACCTCGTTCCCAGGCTCTTATCCCTTCGCTTGACCCCAAGCGAAGGGAAAAGGGCCTGAGAAAGAGGTTGTAGTTTACAACATGAAGGTCAACACTAATTAAACGTGAATTACAGTAAGCCTGATGATAAATAACCAAAAATGACGACTAACTCGTGTTGTATCAGATTTACAAGATCAATCACCTGACCAAAGCGAAAAACCTTATTGACCTAATAGTTCATTAATTATTTATGCGTTTTTTAGGTTATTTAATTAATCTGCACTATCGTTTTGTCAATAATTAGTTATCCATGATTGCTTGGCAGCCAGATCTTCCCTGACCACACCCAATGTGCAGTTCGCAATAAGTACGCTCAATTAAGTGACACTGTACAGACGTTTTGCCATCACAGTTAATCGTTTGCTGTAGTCCTACGTGTTTATCGATAAGAGGTACGGGGTCCTTTTGCGGAGAGATGGACACAGAAAACTTTGACGCGTTTTCTAATGAAAACCCAAATTTCACATTGCCATATAGGATTCCTGGGCTTGAGAAGGCAACCGCTGGAATTTGAAGGCGGGCTCCTATTATCTTTGCAATGCCGCCTCCAAAGGAATGTCCAACTAGCACCACGTCATCGCTCGTTTTATTTATCCCTTTCAAACGGCTCTCGATGTCATCAAATAATCTGGTGTTTGAACCACTGTGGAAGACAGTATTGATGAATGACGTTTTGGAGACGTATTCCGCAACAAAACGTACGGGAAAGTACGTCAAGATAGGAACAATCAACCCGACTGACTGCAGAGCCGCTACTTCATCCCAAAGTCTTGCTGTTTCTGCGAATTCTGCGTTGGTGACCGGACCTTTGATTCCGAACACATGGACGTTTTGGTGCCTAAAATGCAGAAATCTTGATGAAGATTTCATGTCATTGTCCAAGGACCAATTAAAATTCTGTGGTTGGAAGAAGCCATTTGCCATTGTTAGAACCGCTGCAGAATTCCCATCTTTCACCGCTTTATTGTAAGTTAAGTTAGCAAAGAACGCCAGATCTGCAATGTTCAGTTTTATAGAGGTCCACGTTTGGAGGCATACGGGATAACGATTTGAAAAGAAAGCTTCTCGGTCGACTTTTATGGCATTGGCCCTGGCTTCATCTCTGCAGCTGCTCTTGCAAGTTGCCGGCGCATTTACGAACAGTGAGAGGATTATGGTGAAAATAAAAAGAGCAAGACCCAGGAGACAAACGTATTTGTTTATAATAAAGGTCTTGCGGTCTTTCGTTTTTCCTCTGAAATATGTATACATGACTAAGAGAGAAGAGAGCAAAGGAAAGAAGATGACAAAAGATATCGTTCCAGCCGACGCCTCCTCAGCGACGATTCCAAATGCAATTGGACTTATCACGGCAAATGCAGCCAGAAGCAAAACAATTGCAACACACGCAAAAAGAACCTTGCGGTTGTTCACCGAACGAGTGAATACAAAAATAAGAAATAAAACCGAGCCTAGGAGTGAAAACACAAAAGCAAAAATCCAACATACCACCACAACAAACTCTAGATACTCGGCAAAGGACACGCGATTTGATTCTGTCCTTTCGATACCAACCCACAGTCCACCGACTACGAGCGCGACCAACACGAACAACACCCTTGCGATGTTATATTGCAGTGAAGTTTTCAATACAACTGCTTTGAAAACTTCAGCAAAGAGCGACAACATAAAGCTTGCTACTATAAAAAGAGCTAACAGGATGACAAAGAGACACACGGAGAGGAGGTCTTTCTTGGATTTGGTGGCCGCTGCTGGAGCAATCATCTCAGAGACTATGTCTAATGCTACGGTGATACAGAAGGCAATTGCGGAGATGATGAACGAGATGAAGACAATYGCGACAATGAGTTGGCAGACGTAGAACAGAAGTGTTATCAGGCCACGAAGGATGTCCCATCCAATGCCATTGCGCTCTGGAAACAGCTGAAAAGCAATGGAACACGAATTATGAGATGACAAGATGCATGGAGAAGCACTGCATAATTGAGATGGAAAACTAATTGGGTGGGAATACAACTATTTCACAAAACGCTGAATACGGTGACACTAAGGGGTTCTAACACCGCAATGCTGTTATACGGGAGAAATATTTTTGAATAACGATAAAATGATCAACAAAGACGTGCATTTCGGTCTTGGCATTACCGAAAAGTGGAAATTGCCTGCGGACATGTTCTTCCTCGCGTGAATGCATATTTTGTTCGGCTTTGCTGGTCATGCAGAAGACATGACGCTTGTGTTGTCTTATTTTCGTATCACGACATATATTTTGATCATTATGTGTATCTACAAATAGGTTATGGGTCCTAATTTCAATGTGTATTACGAAGAACAGTTTATGATAATTAACTAAATTGTGGTTAGAATTTTCCTGACAAATATTTTTGATATCCGCATTAAATATTATTATTATCTGTATTGTAAGTGACAATTCATGACGACTAGATGTACATTTTGCATTGAAGACTCCTTTCCATCAGGAGTTCATTTGAATAATTATTTTTTTCTAATTTAATTGAAGCGAATGTATATGCTTCTAAATACATCAGCGAAGACTCTAAACCCGTGAATATTCAATATTTTCTATGACCAAGACGTACTTGTCAAATGCAGTCATTTTCAAACATTCTGAACGCTCATATATCATTATATCAGGTGGATCAAGGGGAATTTCATATGACTTTTACCTTATCTCGCTAAATGAGATTATAAATCAATCAAATTCTTTGAAATCAAACTTGTTTATTTTGGGTTATAAATATCAGTTACCCATGACATGCATATTGACATATTTTAGTGGTCAGAATTTCTTAAAATTACTATAAAAATGTAAAAAAAAAGAGTTAGGGATTGCAACTACATATAACAGTAACATAAAACTTATGGGATTTCTGAAATTATATAACGAGCGTCAAGAGCTTAGTTAATATGAGCTATGCCGAGACCACTGATGAGTATCAGCCTTATAATTTTTCAACTGTGAATGCATATGTAACTATTAGTAATATCAATCCTACTTTTTTTGTTCATTATATCAACTGGTAGAAAATCGGTAGTCATTAACTTTATAAAGTCGAAGATAAACCATGCACTCTATAGTCATCATTTTATTTAAAGACGTTCTATATATACTATTGCTTGGGATGTATATCTAGATTCAGTAATAGTATCTGATTTGAAAGATTCTCTATACCTTTTTTTCTTCATGTTTCGAGTCTTTACCATAGTCCTGGTTGTTATTCTTGCTGTCTTCGTCGTTAGCGAAAGTACCCAATCCAAATCGTTTCATTTGAATCATCTTATTCTAAGACTTAATAGTAATTTTGCTATAGATAGTAATTTATGTCTGAAATCCCTTGTACGAACTTGTGAATATTGCTTAAAATTGGACTAGTTCTTTTAGAAATCGTGTATTGAAAGCAAGAGTGTCTACGGTTATTTTTCGTCAAACACTTTGTTTACAAACTTATAGTGCTTTAGAAAGAACAATCGAGAAATGTACAGTGCATTACGTCACTAGCCATTGCATACTTTAAATACTTTGAATGCTTTACGAAGTAGAAACATTTCGTAGTCGTCTTTTGTAATTATGTCTGCTCACTTGAGGTTAGCTTCGATCGATTAATATTAATAATCCTTGGTCCAAAGTGATAAATCTTTCAATTTCGAGCAAGTTTTCACGAATCGTCCATTTCTAACCTCTCTTTTCCAACCGCTAGAATAATCACGCGATCGGTTGGAAAGAAGAGGCCAGAACTGGACTATTTCTCGAAGAGTCTAACCAGACGCTATTGAGGGTTAATTATATTAATTAGCTCAGAAGGGCAAAACATTTTTTTGTTACATTGGTCAGATTGCCGATAGCTGTTTTGTTCGTTCCTTTCCAACCACGCGCTCATGACGTCATAAAATTTTGTTAAATATTTCAAGTATTCAGGTATACCCACGATTATAGCAAGAGATTCACTGCTAAGTTTAGTTAAGAAACAAACAAAACACCACAAAACAGCACTGAGGTAGGAAAACGTTTGTCGAGGGGGGAGTACCTGATTTCCTAGTTGGCTTATCGTATTAGGGAGGGGTGGGTTGGGGATATAATAGGGGGGGGGGGGGGGGGGGGGGGGCGGAGGGTTGAAATCAGCAAATTGGTTCAAATAATTCATAAGATTATATACATTTTAAACGACGCAATTCATTGGAAAATTTATTAAATAAGTATACAACATTTGGAGTAAAGTGTACATGGATTAGTATACTATTATGACTGATTTAAGGCAATTTTTTATGTCTTGAATCTTGCCCTTTTATGTGTTCTTGGGGGTGTCTGAAATCTGAAAAAAGAAGAGCATCATTGCTTGAATTAGAGAATTTGTATGATTATCCATTAATACACAATCAACCAAAATTGCAAGATGGCGTTTGATTTGATAAATCTCTACTCGTTTAGTAGGTTTAGGCCTTGACCACATCGACAGGTTTCCGTAACGCTTTTAGAAACGGTTCCGTATGATTCATGCGTAAAACTCTGATATATGTAGGACTCCCTATGGACTCCAGAAGAAGGCTAAAGGCCGATTTAGACGACTTAACTTTTGCCTACAACCATCGCATGCAACCTGCATAAGTCATCCTTACAACATGGCTACAACTGTCGTAGGGATTTTAAACAATTTCTCAATAGCCCTACGACAGTTGTAGCCATGTTGTAAGGACGACTTAAGAAGGTTGCATGCGATAGTTGCAGGCAAAAATTGTGCCGTCTAAATCGGCCTTAAAAGAGACTCATTTAAAGTTTAATACATTAGACATTAGAAATACTATAGCTTATAAGTCCAGTGGATGTTCTTTCGCATACAAACAGCAGATCGATATACATACCGTGTATTTGTCCCACTTCTTTTCAGGGTCGTACGGTTCCCATCTACTGGCAGGGAATATATGCTTATTTCTCTCGTACCAGGTACGTAGGACAACTTTGCCAGCGTGAGACTGGAAACAATGCAAGAAAAAAACGTTTTCAAATTGTTTTTAGTAGCATGTTTGCAAATAACCGTTTAAAAGTACGAACGGGAGTTGGACTTTAGATACATATTTGCATTAACAATGGTCTTGTCCTCTGATTACGTCATGTTTAGTGTGACGAAGTGCATCATGGTCTTGAAAAGTATCACGAGGATGGCGAATGTTTTTAGAAAAACTAGACGGCGAGTTTTCTTTGCGAAATTTCGTTATTCCTTGTCCAAAATCTTTTGGAAGGATATTAAAATAGATGCCTACACATTGGAGTATGCTCAAAAACATGCCTTAGAAATGAGAAAAACCTTTTATATGCAAAATATCTTCAAACACAATAAAATTTCTTCAGTTTACACTTTTGCAATAACACATCTCATCGAATACCGGAGAGTGTCGTTATGGTAACAGGTTGGACCAAGTTGACTCACCTCGTCTTTCTCAACTGACGCATCACTTGAGATTCGCACATCTTCATGTACATCAAAGCTGAATAAAGGACCACTTTTACCTCTGGCTTTGTTGACAATAAAATCGTAGAACGAGTAATGCTGAAAAAGGATATAAAAAACCTTGAAGCTTTAAATTTGGTAAGCCATGTGGGATAAAATCACTTGAGTTTGTAATTCTCTTACTACGCATGCTCTAACACGTACGTTTTAATTCAATATCGTCCGTAGCGCCCCTGCCCCTCTTACTATGCAAGTGTTTTTCGTCGAGCTTGCGAAGTAAGTGACAGGGACCGGGTACGAGATTGGCGTTAATGCAGGAGTTACGTCGAGATCGTACTTTCGTGGGACAAAAATCAAAGTTCAATGATATAAGCCAAAATAGCTCTCTGCGTGTTGTTGTTTAAATGACTTGTTTTTAACACATCTCTAAGCTGTGAAGTTAAATCCCCTCTTACACCTTTAGTTGTATGTGGCTATTCATGCAAAATCTCATACTAGAAACAAATGAATGGAAGAAACATAGAAATGGATGAATGAGACAGCAGTGTCTTACTTGAGGCATGATAAGATCTTCCTTTATATACATCAGGTTTTCTGTTGTGATAGTTCTGAATTATAAAGATAATAATTTAATTAAGCATGCATATTATATATGTACTGATCTAGTATGACATTATGAAAGCTTGTACAGATAGTCCTTTTAAGGTCAACAATCAGCATCCTTTACGATTTTTTATGTTTAAAAATGAAGATCCCTGGTGATACAAGCAAAAACTTAACTCATTATTATCCTTTATGCTCTATGAATAGAGATATTGTACAATTCAATCTTAAAGCGATTGATGAACATTGATTGTGAATGAAAATTTGAAGCCATTTTCACAAGTAAAACATTGAATGCTGCAAAAGTTTAGATTTACACGTTATCTCATATTGACAATACTGATTGATTTGGAGTTGTATCTAAGGACAATAAGAGACCAACCGTACAGTATATAAATTCTCTAATTAGAAAACGTTGAGTCAATTACTGGACAGTCAGTGAAACAAAATCCAACATTTCGACCGAAAACCATCGGTCTTCATCAGGGTTGTGAGCCTGTGGAGTTGACACTTTTGTTGCGTGTCAACTATGTCCCTCGTCGTTTGACATGCAACAAAAGCCCAAGTGTCAACTCCACAGGCTCATAAACATGATGAAGACCCAAGCTTTTTAGTCGAAACGTTGGATTTTGTTTCACTGACTATCAAGTAATTGACTCAATGTTTTCTAAATAGTAACAACTAGATGAATAATTTACATTTTAAAAAAATAGATAGAAATTCTCTAACTTACCTAAATTCAGCAAAATCCTTTCTAAGCTCCTCTATGCATTTCTGTAGAAACTGAGAGATGCTGTTGCCCTTTTTCATCTGAAACATGCATGGACAAACATTGTTGGTGGAAATTTATGTGCTTAATGACAGAGTGGGAGTGCTGTGTGTGAAAATGTGAATAGGAGTATATAYGTGGCATGATTTTGAATGAAGAATAAGGCTCCAATAGAATGATAAAAATACCTTAGTAGTACGTCGGTGACCTGAACCATCCCAGTAGCTGTAGGTGATCTGTATTTCCTCATCTTGTGAAAGGAACATATATGGAAATGAAATGAAATAAGCAAATTTTGACACCTAAACAATACAGCTTAGATTTCTTATAATGGTGCTATAAGTGGATTTTTTACTTCATTTTCATGGTTCTTATTTTCATAAGAAAGATATGTATTGCCTGCATATATATATATTATTAATTCATATGTCAAAATTGGCCTTTGGATAGTGCTTTCGACCATACATATATGAATTTAACAAATAGATCTCATTTTTCCGTTCGTGTGTACTCTAATAGATACACAGATGACGTCAAAATGTAGTGAGAACAAAAAAGTAYGCVCRAGAYGCAGTCKMGTGCGTGACTGTTGTTCTCACTACATTTTGACATCATCTGTGTATCTATTAGAGTACACACGCACAGAAAAATGAGATCTATCTGTTTTATACAACAAACAATTAGTTTTRACGTAATCCGTGTATCTATACTTWGATAACACACGAAAGCCAACCAATCAAAACGTCTGATTTTACTGAAAAGTTGTATAATTTAAAATACTGTGATGATGTTTAATGTTATACCTTCAAAAATAATAAACTGTTTAAAACTATAGACTAAAATTGTTCTCATGTAAAGAGTTTCTGATATATTTTTAGGCTAGCAGGGACTTAAATTCTAGGTTCTCATAATCCTGTTCATACTGTAATACAAAGAAAATAATCTCCCTTGACAGGTAAATTTAAGGTCATTTAGTTGGTGTGATATCGAAAGATTTTACCTACTAAATAAAATGTAGATGTAGATGTACCGTAGATGGTCATCTGAAAAGATTATATTTCTCTTACTTTTGATTTTTTCTTGCTTTTGTATCCATTCCTGTCCCAGTCGTTCTCTTTCTTTTCTTTCCATTTCCTACTTATGAAAATCAAATTTGATTTTACTAGAGTTGGTTAGAATAAAACTAGCAGGATGTCTATGTGACTTTATTACCTCTCGTTCTCTGTCAGGGAGAAATGAGGTGTCAACATCTGGGTTTTTTCCAAGTTTCTTTTTCTTGAAAACTACAGCTAATGATACAATAAATAAAAAAGTACATTTTCAGAAAGCAGAAGTTGATTAATAAACCAGTTAATCCATCCATAAATTAACCAATAAATCAACCAATGAATCAATAAACCAATCAATCAATCAATCAATCAAAAAATTAATCAATCAATCAATCAATCAATCAGTTTAATCAACCCAACAACCAACCAATCAGTGCATGAGTTATAAAATAATGATTATTTTTGAACAATTACCAGGTTCTTCATCCTCATCCTCTTCCTCGTCAAGTCCAAATGACAAAGTGGCAGCTTGCTTCTGTTTTTCTCTCTTCTTTTCCCGTTTTGACTTCTTACTCCTGCAGAAGGAAACAAAACCAATCAGCTGTTTCATTTTACAGGAAGCAATTTTWCAGTGCAATGTGTGTCTGGACTGTTAATGTATTTGCATACTTTTGTTGTGCTTATTGACCAATCACAGTTGTAGGATTGTGTTATCCTGTTTGAGATCAAGATACTGACAAGACGTAGTATGGAAACATATTCCTCGTGGCCGAAATTTTAAGCGTTGCACTGTAATGACTTAAAGCCCCAGTTGACATGAGAACCTTTTATTTTATTTTAGAAAAGATATTTTGTTGGAAGTTGCTTTCCTGTAATTGGCTCAAAATCAAAGCTGGTAACTTGTATGTGAGAAAATCATGTAAAGGTCCCAGATGTACAAGGGCCTTTAATTATTATTTGAGTTATAATGATTTGACTTACTCCTCCTCATCTATTTTTAGTTTTGCTGCAAGTTGTTTTTCATGTTCTCTCACAAGAGTGTCTCGCTTGGCCTTCATCTCATCCAAGGTAACCAAACCTTAAAATTATAATAATAATTATAAATAATAATAATAATTATAAATAATAATAGAACTGTGGCAAAGTTCACCTGCTGACCAACTTTATAAGAAGTCATCAAAAGATTGAACAACTTAACTAAACCCTCTTGTTAAAGTTAGTATTACGATTTCACTGAGTAATATAATCCTGTTATTATATAACTATTATCTTGCAAGAATAGTTTGTTGGATTTCTTGAATCAAATTACCAATGGTACTCTCTTTCAACTGCTGTTCTACGACATCGTACTGCGATGAAAACTTGCTTGTAATGTCTCCAATCTTGTTTTTCTGTATAAGAAGTTAAATCAAGTAAGGTTATAGCTTACATGTACAATCACCATTAACTTTAAGCTAAGACAGCTGTTTTATTAAGAAAACAGGATTACCAATCTTAACATTAACTGCGACCTAATATACKTAAACATAAGCTTTTAATTTTGCACAATGAAAATTATTTTTTGTTCAATTCACARACAGAGGATACTTCAGACTTTTCAAAGTATTCTTGATGGGGTCATAAAATAATCATATAGAAATACTCAAGTTGTACCTCAGCAATTTTCTTCTTCCTAGCTTCCATATCTTCTTTCATTTTTTCTCGTTTCTTCAGTAGAGCTTGGGCTCTTTGCCCTTCTCTCGAAGCACCCTTGTATTCCGCCATTTTGTCTTCTTCGATTARTTAGGACCCGGGTCCCAACTGAAAGTACACAGGAAGCCCAGCATTATACATTTGAACCAAAACGGCCGCCGCGCATTTGGCTCTCTTAACTTTTTAATATGCAAAACAAACTGTGATGTATTGAAATATATGGTTCCTTAGACGTTTCCCTTTAAGTTATAATTGAAAACAGTGGAGTTGTGTGTTTTTTAAACACGCTATAATATTCTACGGTCGCGAGAAATGTATGGTCGGGTGTAATGGCTTATGGATAAAAGTTAAAACTTAATGAATTAATAGGTTTTTGTGATAAACGACACAACAAATTGCCACAGGGTTGTTCTAGATTGTTCGGATTTTATGTAAATAAGTTCAACGTTTAATTTGCAAAAGAAATTACAAACAACATCTTGGTATCTGAATAACTTATCTGCGGTCAAAACTGTTTAGATATTTCTAAAAGCTTATGTTAAAAAAGCTTATATTAAATGGGTTTTCAGTGAAAATTGGGCGCAATGCACCTGAAAAATATATATAATCCTTTTTTTTAAAAAAAGTATATATTACTTAAGAAGACACAAAATTTGCTGAAAGAGTTTTAGTAATTGAAAGTGAAAAAAGTTTGTCAACCTCAGCATGATTTTTTTTGACTTTCAAACAATTAAGTGCAAATGAGTCATCTTTTTTTACTTAATCATGCATTCAATTAAAAACARCTAATCGGAATATCCCGAATTATGCGACTTTTTGTAATTTTCGTTGTCACTGCGTCACTCAGTTTCCCGTCACGGCATTTGTCAATGTTGCATTTATTGTGTCTTTTAATTCACTTTTATCCGTGTTTTCTTATTACAACCCGCGAATAACTAATAACAACTAGGACAAGAAATGGACTGAGACTTCTAAAATGACATGAGTTCATTATTTCTACTGGGGATAAAGGTAATTTATAAGAATTTTTATTTATTTATTTGTGTCATTTTCCCATGAGGAAATKTAATGATATTTATGATAACAGTCTCGAAAAAAGCAAGGAAACATCTAATTTGCGACTTCAGGCTTCAATATTAACGGTTTATTTGTTGGTTTTCGAAAATATACCACTTGTATTTATAAATCCTCCATATTTAAGATAGTGTATACCTTAAGTTGTAACTAGGCAGGTGCTATCAACCAAAGCGAAATTGTTTTTTTTCTTTAGTTCATTTAGTCTTTATTCAGCTGTCAGTAATAGATTTTTAAGAAAGAAATACTGTCTCAAACCATCATTTCTTCAATATTATTAGCAATATATATATGTTTATTAATATTTTTCTCTTGTAATTGAAAATTGAGTAGTTGTTCCTGTGTTTGGAAAGTGACGATGAAAATGACAACTTAAAACAGGACGGCAAAACAGCAACAACGGAAGCATTACCACTCAAAACATTTATTCGTATTTTTTGAAAGTTCAAGGCCGTCTTCTCTATTCATAGGAAAGAAACTCATTATTAATGYCAATATTTTTTTTTCATTTTAATTTCCTAATTATTTTTTTAAAGCTCCTGTTCCTACGACTTTTTACCCCCGTGTTCGTTTTTTCTTTGTATATTTTTATCTTTCGCGTTGGTTGAAAGTCAGAGTCTATTATTTGGAGTAAAGTGTCTATTGTTATTTTTTTATGTTTCCTTTTAGAAATCTTACCCCCATGGCCATCTTAATATAATACGATTTTGAAATTCAGATCAATGTTTTCATCATTTCTAAAATAGCCTTAAAGTTTGGTTAAAAAACATCTTATTAAAAACAAAACAAAAAGAAAACAAACAAGAACAATTCAAAGAGAATATTAGATATTGTTTGCTTTATTTTGCTATGTCGCTCTTTTATTATTATTACAATTTTTTGTCAATTTTATTCATTGTTGGAAAACCTGTGGGACGACCAATATTGCTTGATTTCTTATTGTCGTTATTTTTATATCATTTATCCTTGGCTTTTCATGCTTTTTTCCTCGAAACTTTGTATCATTTTACAGAAAAATGCTAGCTATAACATGTATATTCGGAGTTCATTTATCTCAAAATATCATGTCAAATATCTAATTTATATTATATTTGGTGCAATATGCGCCCTTGGGCCTTGGATTTGTCGAAAACCGTTTGTTACCAAAATCACAAGYAGAAATGATATGCGCTGTTGTCTTATCGTCCAACCGTTCTCAGATARGTTTGAGGAAAATGTCTGTCTAATCTCTCTACCTATTAGAGCACAGGCATGTAAAAAAGTGGAATCTATTTGCTCAGTATATTTTACAAAACAACTCTTTAGCATTGAGCATAGAAATTATATCGCAAGCATTCGTTGCATTTGAAATAATTTCTATTGCCAATGTTTTCAATTTGTTGAAATGTCATGCTACGAAGCTAATTAGTCTCGTAAAGTACATACAAACTGTACAAATTATGTAAGTATACTACTGATAAGAGTTACAGCTGTAATGTTTTATTGAGTTTACTGTTGTTTTATCATTGCCAACTTATTTTCTATAGCCATTATTTTTAAGACTATCCATTATTTCTAAGAATTTTTTTTAAAGCTTTTAAGAACTTCATGAAAAATTGAAAGCCATTTCTACTCTTTTATTGTAAATTGTAATGAATTCACTATGTTACCGATTAGAACAAGAAGATTTATTATTTCTGAACGTTTTCATCTTAAAATAACCTTGAASTTTATCAATCTTGTACGAGCAACACAAAACGTTTACAATCACATCGATTTAGATCAGTAATTTCGTGAATTAGATGTATTTTTACAACTTTTCACAAGTCATTATCAATGCCAAATGATCAGAAACTTTGTTATTGCAAGGTAGATGGGGTTTAATGTTTTGTTACGTAATCCTGATAAGTCTTTGTTTCATCGCATTTTGATTGAAATTTCGTCAAAGAGTCTTGCATAATTGTAAAAAGGATGGATCCTGCACCCGGAACTACTCCTGGTTGTGWCAAAAATGAGGAAGTTCAGTTAGTTTTGAACACACTTATGCGAAATCCGTAGTCTACTTATCTTAGCTTAAAAAAGCGATTCGTAACATCTTATTTAGATTTAGAACATCGATAAGAAAATCTTTTTTGTAATGAGTGAAATCCGTGGAACTTTTCACACGTAATTCATATAAAAAAATTATTCTGAATCGGATCAGGCGAATATGGTACGGAAACTTTGATGTTATTTTGAAATTAAAAAGGCCTTGTTTATTTCTATCGCAGTTGTACTCCGCTGTAGAGAGAAGTGTAAAAAAAGAAAACATTTAAGTTCTTATCTCACTGTAGTCGCATATTTTTTCTTACATTACTAAAAAGCACTTACRTGTGCAATTCATATTGAGTTCAGGTAAAAAGACAAACCAAGCCAATGGCTTAGAAAAGCAAATATTGACACAAATACTGGAATGGAAATAGCATTCTTGGTATCGATTACGTTAAGAAAATCCTTAATATTACTCGACTTTTGGTATTTATCTAGSGTTAATCCTAATCAGTTTTCATAAATTCACAATATTTCGAAAATCGTAATGGAAAAGGCGATTTAGAGCTAGGGAAGTATTGTTTGCTTGTGAATGAAGGTCGCATTTCTATTGCTCTCTATATGCATATATCACTTATCTCAAAAACGTTTTGAGATTGAAAGTTACCGTCGATATTTACTCAGAACAATGGTTGGCTTTATTGATAGTCGAAAAAAAGAAAAAGAAAGGAAAAAAAATACAAATTCATTCTATTTTTGATAAACATGTTTATATTTTTTTCAGAATACTTAAAGGAAATCTTAAAAAAGCTCTTCGTTTTTCGCTAATTCAAGTATATTCACTATATGACGAAATTCCCCTTTTTTATTTACAGGGTTTTTTATTCAAATGAGTAGCAAAAAAAATACGATTTTAGTCAATTCTTTTAATTAAACTGCAGGATAAAATCGATTAAATGTTCCATAATTAAAAATCATGTGAACTAGCAATTCGTTAGTGGTTGTGATCATGTTTCATGGGTATATATGGAAGTGTTGAATAATTTAACATCTGCTAGTAGATGAAGGCTGACAGTTTTAGCACAAACACATATCACTTCGCCCCGATCTACTCAAGAACAGTACCCGGCTATTATTTAAGCGWCGAAACCGAAAAAAAACCCGACAAGAAATCGACCAGGATGTGAATTTGACTCCWTCTGACTTGCGACCCCCGAGTCCTGAAACGATGCCTTTTTGTGCGGTAAGACCTCTTTGTCCTATATTAAAAACAACAGCAGTTATTCGGTATTCAAATTTTAACGCCATTAATCGAGCTTTACAAAGCTTCTTTGAGAAACGAAAAGTTCATACTCACAAATTTTATTAAAGTTTTCGTTGGAGTTTTCAAGGTTTGTAGGGCATTGTTCGATAGTTTTGCAAACTCCGATTAATAGGAGGTTGCATGAGTTCCCCGACACACATTAATCAAGAAGGAATAATTATTCATTAAGAGTATAGTTATCGGCGGCYGTCCGCAGTTAAAAGCCCTCTTTTAGCTCTTGTTTTATCGGTGRYTTYCTAAGTATTACGACATAGAACGCGCAACATTCGATTATTATTATTGTTACGATTGCGTTTCCAAATTTCGCACATGGAGGTTAAGATTTCCCATTCTTATTGAATCATATTTTCTTATTCTTATCGCACTCWTTTTTGCTTTATTTAAATAGATTTTACCTCTCGCAAATTTCTCAAAAGCCACCTTTCATTTTTCATGACTTTTGATGGTATCGACTTAGTTCACTATCGATAAGCTTGTCTTATGAAAACGAAGTTTGTGATTGTAAATTGTACACGTAATATGCCTAAAAGTTTACTAACATCCTACCTAAGTCAATCCAGCTATAACACTACATAACTGCTGCAAAAATGCAAAAAARTAAAGATAAAAAAATATCGAATTGTGTATTAATAAAATACCAGTACTGGCGATTCAAGATATGCTAATTTTCCGCTGTTTTCGATCGTATCCCKATTAATAAAAAGCGATTTTCAATCTTGCATATAAGTGTTGTATAACAACGGCCGTATGACCAGTGAGTGATTAACTTTTAAAAGTAATTTCCCAGCAAACTATGATGTATTTTTACTTTTAGAAATACTAATKTGACTTTTTCGATTAATATTAATACTTGCTATCAGTTTATGCTTTCTCAATTTTTGCCGCTAAAATGTCATCCCATTGATTCTTTTTGAACTTCTTGATTAAGGTGCTTTTAATGTGAACTAATGCTAATGCTTCAAATGGTGAACTATTTTTAACTTTTAAATAAGCGCCATGTTTTTGTTTTTTACATGTCATATGGCCTCGTGGCTTGAGACGTCATTTCACTATCGAGTTTTCTGGGATGTAGTGTCATTATCAGAAAAAATACCAAACGTTTTTCCTTGCTTATTATAAACTAGGATATATTTTATTTTATTGCGAACCTAAATTTAGTTTCTTTGCATTGTATGTTGACACTGTTTCACCGGTCAGTATGATTGCTTTAGCAAAGTTAATAATAGTAAAACTATATCTTCACGATTAAAAAAAGGAGAAAGAAAAAAATCAAATAAGAAAAAAGGAAAATGACAACAATAAGAATGATAATAAGACTCATGAGTATTTCAACTGGAAAAGAATTTCTTTGTACTTAAATAATAGCGTATTTATGTATTTTTTAATAACCGCTTTTATGGTGTTTAGTTTGGCGATCTGCTCCTTAAGGTTTATAACATCCTATGTCCTTTCCCGCCTGAAATAAAAAGCTCGGCAGAAAACGTACTTCAAACAAAAATTTACATGATATTTTTGAGATTTAGAAGCATTCGAGCAAACTTGGATACTCTATAATGGATAAATATTCGAACCGTGTTTCGAAGTTTTCTATAAAGTATTAAAATTTCGTTTCCATGGCAATTACTTCATAGCAGACAGCTGGACGTCTGYAATAAAAGCAAAAATTAATTTCTTCTCGGGAATAGATAAAGATCGGTACCAATGTAAAACAAAATTGATATCTAAAAAAAAGGAATCTGAAAACCGGAAAACAATAATTAGATTATATTGGTGGAGCGATTTGTCGAACATGGCTCCATTCTATCAGCTCATATAAAAGATATTCGTCTTATAATTTGAGGCTGAAAAGCTTTTAATCAAAAATTAAAATTAGAGCAAAAAAATGTAAGTTTTTTTTCTATATTGATATTTGCGCACTCAAAAGTTGGTTCATAACAAGTTGTTATTCTGGGGTAGACAGGCTATATATTTCGATTAAGTAGCCAAGGTTTGTCAGTGGCACATTCAGAAACATGAATCAAGAGGTAATTTTTTTCCTTTTTGTTAAACAAAAATCTTAATTTGGGATCCAAGCTATACTATATCAACAACACAAAGCTTTTCATGTGCGGCATGCATCTATTTCGCCACTTGGAGTTCAAAAGTTGTGTTTGATTTCTTCAAAAACGCTGTATCCGCCACGACTGACATTACTTAGTMGATGGTACAATATTACAATACAATATTACAACGCTCTTTAAGCATTAAGCTTAAGCATGGCTGAAAAAACTTCCGCAGTTCGTGAGGTCTGTTAGCAGGTATTTTACATCTCGTGACGTCAGTAAATGCCAAAGAAATGACAAGTCCTCGTATTAAAAGTGAATTTAGGACACTTTTAGGCTTGCCAACGCAATGCCGGAAATGTTCCTTATTTACCTATTCCTTTCTTTTTTTCTTCCTTTCAATTTTTCTTTCATTTTTTGCTACAAGTATTTCACCTGCGCTACKGCAAGTCAGAAATTTGTCTTTGAATTTTGAATCCAAGTCCAACATCATCGACTTTTGAGACCTTTTTCGAAAATCTTCACGGAAACGCTTTGACGTAACCAGCACCTAAGCGTAGCAGCCACTACATAAGTGTAGCAACGTCTACGTAAGTGTAGCAGTCATTACGTAAACATATAGCAAAGGCAACCTTATGCAAGCGTAGCAACCTTATGCAAGCGTATAGCTACCTTTTAGTTTACGTAACAAGCGTAGCAACCTGTACATAAGCGTAGCAATCATGACGCAAACATATGTCAATTGCAACCAGTATGCAAGAGTAGCTACCTTTACGTAACAAGCGTAGCAACCTGTACATAAGCGTATAGCAACCAATTTGAATACTGTACGTACAAGTATGTACGCATAACAACCACTACGTAAACGTATTTACCATTACGTAGTCGTAGTAGGACAGGGCCATCTGGTTATGGACTCACTTCTTACTTTTAACCCCCTATATATGTGAGGTCTCAAGAAACTTTGTTATTGCGACTGGATAGACAATACATCATTTTTACATGTTTTCAAAGTGTAATTCCTTTTAAATTTTTTCTGTTTTATTTTGTGTTTATACAATTGAAAACACGTATAATGCATTAAATGCCCGGGGTCGGGGAAGGGACTCCCTTATAAAAGATGGTAGGTATGCTCGACGGACGGATTGAAAAATGATCCTTAAAACGTACGCATAAACTGATTAATTCGATTCCAGACCCTAAAAAGTACAGCCATCATTTTTGACATCTTTAGCAAGAGAAAAGCTCACGGTTAACAAACTGTAGACAATCAATGTCGATAGATTGCTGAGGTTAATAAAATTTCCTTCTTTATTAACACTTTTTCAATTTTTTTCCCGTTGTTCGAAAATTGACCCTAAAGGGTACGGATTCAGCTCAGGACCCGAGGGTTTTATTTTCCACCCTAAAGATCCGTCGAGCGTACCTATCAATTTTTATAAGGGAGTCCCCCCGGGTTTAAATGAATTCAATTTGACATTCAAGTAAAAATGATGTCATGGGCTCCATATAGAACGAGTGTCGATTTGCTCCTAATTGCTTATCTTTATTGTGTTATGTTAGCTCTCAAATGACCATCTATCCCCGTTGAAATATTTTAATAATTTCGTGAATTTACAGACATAGAAAATATGCTTTATGATTAACATAATCTCACTTAGAAAAAGTCTCGATTTTTTAATGTTACTTGCAACTAAGTGTTACATAGTGTTTCCTCAAAGTTTTAATAATCCTCACTTCCTTAATTTTCAGACATGTGATAAGTATGTTTATATTTTCTATAAAAAAAACCCACTTGTGAAATGACCGTTGCCTCGTTTTAAGTACTTATAACTGGTTGCAACCGGTCGTGCCTTAGGGCACTGTTAGCTTTTTGACGTCATCAAAATTGCGCGAGAAAAGTATGCAAATATTATTTTATTGAATTTCTTCAGTTTCCGGTACCCTGTAGTTCATCTCTGCAATTTTATTTTTTTCTGCACTTACAGCTCAAAGCATATTATTTTTTTTTGAATTGCTTCAGCGCCATCTTGGCTCGTTAGTTGATGAACTCTACTTCATAAAATGGTACCATTTGAATTATTTCTTTTTATAATATTCGCAACGTTATTTTGAACGATAACCGTAATTTTGCATGGAAAGGACGATGTTTTAGCTTACTGTGCGTGATAGCTCTTGTTATTTTTTAATCTGTAGAACAAGTATTCACAGGTATTTGTGAAATTCAATCGTCTCCTTCTCGATGCAAATAACTACATAATAAGAAGGCGCAGGGCGATTGGATGTTGGACGGTTGCGTGCGAGAAAATAATGTCTATTTTCAATCTTGTAGGTTGGCCTTTGTATCTTTCTTATCCAAGCCATTTTGCTTATCACTTGTCAAGGTTCTGGTAAGTACTATGTTTTTTTAACCTTTCATAGACTGAAATAAAAAATGGAGTCCTATTTTGAATGATTGTTTTTGACGGCTAAAGTTCTTGTCCTTGCGATGTTGAAATAGCAGAGCTTGCATTGCTCGGAGAAGAAGTTATCAATTCCGTTCAAAGGTAAAGACTTCCCGGCACWCATGTAAAAATACGGAAAACCTTGTAAAAAGCCATGAGTTAAAATCACATTGTCCCATTTTCACGGTTTGTTAATTGGCTGTACTTACTTATATATATATAATCTTTATAAGCAAGAAAGTTTTGCCTGAAAGAGTTTTTTAGGGTCATAATATAACGCCATTTATTAGTATTTATYATTTCTAAAAGAATTCTTGTCATATGTCGTTTTTATGTATTTCCTGGCAAGTGAGGTTTAGGATGTTTGTTCAGACAATGAATCCCAAAGTATTCCACCATTTTATTTCATTAAATTTCATGCAATTATTCGCTTATTTTCCCTCTCTTTTGGCTGTCTTTACTGAAGACTGACCCTTGCCAATAAGCTCAAAAATTTGAGTTCGACTGTGACAAGAACAAGAACCGTTCCAACGATCTGTTGTTTGTGCTTTCAGAAGAAGAGACTGTTTATGGAACATTTGGTGTCCTTACTAACTTCAAGGATAGAACCTTGAATTTTACCAATATAACATTATGGAAAGTGATAGCCCCACTCGACCACCAGATAGTGGTAACCGTTATCTATCCGACAAATGATCCGCGGCTGAATTGCGAAAACGTCCGCGTTAAAGACGCAATTTCAAGTACAGACATAAGCTCCTATACACCGTCGAAAGAGTWTTGCAGATTCCACATTAAGAACAGAATATTTGCTCTTAATCTGACCGGACATTATTCGTTGTTTCTCGCTGTGTTTGAAGCATTCAGAAACCAAATAAAAGGTTAGTTGGTATAGCTATATTTTTGAAATTTGAAAATGCAAATGAAGTGACGTCAACTAAGGAAATTTGTCCAGACTTTTTGTGTTATGTTGTTTTTGGTTGAAGAGCTCAAATCATCAATTATAGTAATAATTGAGAGCTGAAAATGCTTTTTCCARTGTAACAAAAAGAAWAACGTCCTCTTTCATGATTTTGTATATTAAATCATTCCTTAGTAGACGTCACTTCATTTGCATTTTCTAAGTTTGAATTGCCCATAACTTAGAAAATACAATTTAAAATCAATTTCTTTCTTCACAGATGTACTTAGCAGCATTTTCTCTTTTGAATGAGAATGAATTTCGAATGGTGTCATGTGCACTTTAAAGTTACTCTACCGGTTGGAGTAACTTCAAGGTGCTACTTGCATGAAAAATTCAAGCAATACAAATATATGACTCATTTATATCTATTAAAAACAATTGCGGGAAAATATTTGTCTTGGAATTATCCCACATCAGAGAAATTTTGATTCAAAAGATGGAAAAACAATAGGATGGAGTAGATGACGTCATCTACTCCAACATTTTTTGCCCATTAAGGATTTGCAATTTTCTTGAAATCTGTTGCTTCATGATTATTATACCTAAATGGATAGGTCTATTTGATTTCCAAGTCTTTTCTAATGTTTCGCAATTTTCGTCCAAGTAGCCCTTTAATGTAAGTTAAATTTGCTCTGCAATGTGAGTAGTACTCCAGAGGTTTTAAKCAACTCGTAAAGACAGTCAAAGTTACTCCTCTAGGTTGAGTTGAATCGACTCCAGAAAACGAGATATCTGGTACCTTTTTTTACTCCTCTTTCTGACTCCTAGCTTGTTCTTAAATTGGCTCGATCTCACACCCAGATGCCGCGTAACCTTTGGTGTTTGACAAAGAATTTTGATAAAGAACACTGTTTTTCGTCGAGCTTGCTAAGTATGAGTTACGGGGGCGCTGGGTACGAGATTGACATAGGTAAAGATGCAATCCTGTATGTAGAGCCCGCACTTTTGGCTTTCAGCGGAAGTCAATGGACCTCCCTAGATGCTTCCCAGAAATCTGCGCCGCACGCATTAAATCGAGGTCRGAGTCAAATAGAATGTATTCCTCAAAAACTACTGCTGATAATTGGGTAAACATTTTCCAATTTTTTTTTTCAGGACTTCTATTTCGACGGCATTTCGTGATACTTTTCCCTGTCGTAAAGTAGTATTTTTGTGAAATTATATGCGATAAACAAATAAATTTCTTGCTCCTTGCAAAAAACTATCTGCGTTGCAACAGCATTCGCCTTTTTCATAGTCAATACAGCAAAAAGATTAAAAGTAGTCCCTGGCCTGTACGTACGAAAATCGTTACGTTGGAGTGATTTACATTTGTAAAGTTTATGGCTGTTACAAGATTTTTTGAAGTCTCGGCGAAAGCTATTTGTCAAAGATTAAAAGTAAACAACGGATTTGCTCGTTTTTTCTCTGATGACCCCAACCTTGGTTTAATGCGCGCGGCGTGCAGATTTCTGGGAAGCTAAGTATCCAGTATTTTTACTAACATAGTTGCTATGATTGTTTTGTTTTAAATAGTTGAAACAAGCTACCCAGTATCAACAAGTGAAAGTTTCAGTACAAAGGTTTACAATTACACTTTGTCAGAGAGGGAAACTTGCCATAAACTAAATAAAAATTCGATTTCCGTTGAGAATAGGAGCATGAAYTATTTTCACAGAGCTCTCCTTATGAGAGGTTCAGAATATRCSTGGATAAACACATCTAATACAGTGTTTACATCGTGGGCAAGTCATCCAAATGCTCATCAAGGCTGTGCTAGAATGAACAAAACTGGAAATTGGGAGACTGTTCAAAATTGTTTCAMCAATGATGCCTYACACGTATGCCAAGAAAGAGGTAAGAAAAGTCGATGATTGCATTCTGCTTTTAGATAATGTTGAACGTTGCACTTCGTGGAGCTAGAGACCCATGTAAATCCAATTAMCTTTGCAATTGTATGTTTTAGTTCGCAAATGATCTCTTTTTAGCAGTTCATTTTCCGTTTGTGGAAAAATCGCGCAATTTTGGGTAAACGTGGGTCTTTTAATAGTTGAGTTTCGCGATCTCTTTTACGCTGTGTTAGCCTCAATTGTGTGCTAAAATATTCAGAAATGTAGATAAAACTCGTGAGATCTCAAACTATTTCCATAGTCTTCTATACTCACGAATCTCTTGCATTTGCACGGGCTGTTAGTGAATAAAAGAATTTATTACATGGTTTTGAGGCTAACACAGCGTAAAATAGATCGCTAAAAGGGTTTATTCTGTTTTTTAACTCAATCTTTTGGTAAAATTAAAAAACAAAAACGTGTAGAGCGGAAATTTAAAACCTCTTCTATAAGAATCTAGCTAGATTTGAGTTTTAGATGAGTGCTGAAGCATGAATCATAAGGCTGTCTCTTTATGGTCCATGGCTGATTTTTTTAAATATCGGGTAGAAAATCGAAATCGTGTATGTTTTTAAAGTACTCATAATCTTCTGGAATATCGTTYAGTCCCTGTAGCAAATACTCCCGCTGAATCATCCAAAAAGATTAGCAGATTTAATTTCTGTTATATCATTATTATAACTCGTGATGCGTGAAAATAATTTTTTCAAATATGGTGCAAAATGTCAATTTTCCCTTGGTTTATGCACCTAAAACTGAGAAGAAGATTTTGTATTAATTTCATTCAAATTTGACAACTGAATTATCCAGTATCATTTATTACAGTATTTTGTTTCTATAGTGTCACAGAGGTCAACATTTTATGACCAATGTAAAGAAAGCTTAGGTCTACAACAAGGAAATGGAGAGATAACGGATCACACTCATCACTCGGCTGATAATGCCAGATTAAACAAGACAGGTTGGATTCTCCCAAATTCACAATCAGATTCATGGATAAAGGTACAGTATTTTTAAAAAGTTAATAAACAGCTACGATACATACAAAAATAAGTTCCGGTACACT